CAGGTCCCCATGCAGAGTGCTAATAGAGCAGGGAAAGGATGTGGCCACAAGCCTTGAGCAGCAGCTGCAGGAGAGGGAGCAAAGTAAGAGGTAGCTGTGTCCTTCTCCCAGCCAGTGAGAGCAGAGGGCTGGCACATCCTCTCCCCCCCTCTACACACGCTCACTCACGTAGTTTGTGTGTGTCCGGATTATATATAGCAAACGAGAACAGACCTCACAGCAGCATATTGATTAGGCTCTTTAGGAAAGGCCTTTTCCAATATGGAAATTGCAAGCCTTACAGGCAGCAGTGACATCTGGAGCAGGAGTTATCGATCATGTGCTGTCACTGTCAGCAGGGACTATGTGGGAGGAGACTCCAGCCATTAAAGAGCCCAAACCCAGAAGTTTTTGGCTTACACTGGAACCCCAATGGAGCAGACCACAGGAGGCTTGTCAGAAGGCGGTACCATACCATTACAACTGCTCACTTTGTCAGAAAAGACAAAGACCACCCCCAAGTCACAGATGGCATCAAATTAGGGAGCAATGCCATTGACACTGGTACCTAAGGCCAGATTTTGCAACATGCAGCAGTACCACTAGCAGAAAGACCAGATTAGTCCCTTTACCCCAGCCATACTGGGCAGGATTCTTCCTGCTGCAGCAGCAGTAGCAGTACAAGAGCAAAAAATAGGGTAGAAGGAAAGCAGTTATCTTGTACATATGGAAGAATCTCCTTCCTTTCCAACACTTTGGGACTGCAGTGGAGGGCAGGAAGACTTCCCCCAAGCAGCCAGAATTTCAACCACCCCATTGTACACCAGACGAAGTCTCGGAGATGCCCACAAGGACCTGCGCACTTACCAGCCTGGGCTCAAATTCAAAGCCTCATGAAGCAGGGACACTCACTCAGATGACCTGAAGAGGAGAAACAAATAGCTTAGCATCCATCAAAACAGCCAGTTTGAAATCTCACCCCATAAATATGTAAGGAATAGGGAACGTTTATAACTAAGGACAACTGGATGGTCATGTCGCTTCAGGTACCTGCCCCAACCCACGTCAAGTCTTCTGAAAGTAACTGAAATTAGCTTAGGATAGTTGGGCCGCATAACCCAGCAAGAGCTGGAAAGGCACCTGGCAAGGACATGTCCAAGGCACTCAGACAACTGGGACCACACAAACTCAAAACTCATGAAGCAATAGCTTGAAGCGAACCTTGGTTTCAGGAAGGACTAAACAAACCTCCTGTGAAATGGGACCCTCCCAGCTAATCTTCCCTGCTACTGCAAAGGGATGCTAACTGTGAAGCCTTCGGTACAGAAGCTTGGTAATGCTAACAATTACCTCACTAGTCCTTTTAAGTCAGTGCTTCTCACCTACAAATGAGCTGGCAATTATCAGACTCTTGTTTGAGCCAAAACATTACATCCTTGTGCCTACAGCTGTGGTAACCCACACCTCCACGAGAGAGGAAGGCAAGCTGCTTTCTGACTTCCAGCAAGCAGTATGCCGTGCTCTACCTTGCTGCCAACAGGCTTCTGTAAAATAGCGTCCAACCAACCAGGGATACAACAGAAGTTCAGAAACAACCTTCCTCTCTGTTCAAAGCCCAGGGTACCCATCACTAAAAGAAGAGAATTAGGTTTATCTGGGAGCCAGCTGTAAGAGCGTAGCTCTGTGGCCATCACTCTGCCACTGACATGAGAGAGACTGCAGTGGAGCCTTCCCTCCCCTGATGCACTTCTGCTGCTGTGCTGCTTTTTCCCTGTCACTGGCACCAAGCCCTGGGAGGCAGGACAGGAGCACAGGGTGTGGAGCAGTTGTACACACATGGGAAGAGCCAGATTGAAGGTGAATGGAACAGGCAGACAACTAGGACCACGAAAACTCAAGCTTTGCCAAAATAAACTGAAGAGGTGCCCTAGTGCTGGCCCTGCCCCAACAAGCTGTCTGGCCCCTTTCCTTACTACAATGCTATAGTCGGGTCTCGACTAGCACAGGAAAAAACAGCTTCACAACAGCATAACTGCTCTGCGGGGCAAACTGTAAAGTACGGGGGGAGAAAGAGAGAGAGAGGGAGAACGTGCACCTCCAGGAAGGACCAGGCCAGCATAGTTTGAATTTGCTTTTCCACCAACTCCCAGCAGGAGCTGATTCAGCGTCAAGGAAAAACCACCAGCCACATGGGCTGGCAGACAAGCAGAGGCTTCCAGGAACAGCTGCACCCATGGGTCCACACATGTTTCCACTGCAGAGGTGCTCAGAATGAACACGCCAAAGGCCTCCCTGTCTCTCAGCACACAGTTCCTCAGGCTCAAACAGGACTGTCCTGCTTCCTACCCCAGAGCCAGCAACTATGCTACCTGCCATCTCATCCCCACCTACCTGGAAAAGATACTGGGATTTGAAATCTACCCTCATGATCTGAGAATTTCCAGAGACAAATACTCACAGTGCCTCCAGGTAACTTTCCCTCAAACAAGGACTTACAGATCCAAAGTGACAACGTGTCCAAACATTTCTGGCTGCTTGCCTCCGAGTCAGCTTTCCCCTGTCAGCATCCAGCAGTATCTGGCCAACAGCTCCTGAAACACGAGAAAGGAAACTTGGTGTCAGTCACCTATCAGCACAACACATGGAAACAGCCAGGCATGCGCAGAGCAACCCACAGCCAGGGCAAGAGTCGGCAGCAAACTGCTGCACCATCAGGCTACTATCTAATGCCAGGACCCTCCAGTGAAATAAGCTCCTTGTCTTCACCATGTCCCAGAAAAGGAAGGTCTTTTAACCATCTCTCTACTGAGCAGGATGCCTGTGCAGACCAGTAACTGACCTCTGAAAGGCAGCTGTTTTTTCTAGATGGCTCCAGGGGTCACCGCTTCCCCACCTGCATTCCTGTCCAACACCAGGAATCCAGCCTCTGTCATTCTGCTCCAACCACCCTGCCACACCAACCTAATTTTGTTCTGCAGACTTCCCTGCACTGAACAGCACAGTTAAGCCCTTCTTGCCTACAATACCTGAGCATCCTTTGCTACCACAGCGAGAGAATCCCAAAGTGGCTCAATTCACCACATCTCTGTTCAGACAGGAGCAGATACTCTCTGCAGAATACATGGACCTCGTGCTCCAAAGCAGAAACGGATACAGGTAGTATCCAGAAATAGAAGGCGGCACTAATTCTGCTCACCACGCTATTCACAAGTCTCTCTCTGAAGGAGCTTGCTGTCAAGTCACATTCTGACTACCCCGGAGAAGCTCAGCTTTAGCCTGGAGCTACAGCAGGAGGTAGCTCTTCAGCTATTCTAATTAGCACTGGAATACAAGAGGAAACTTAACCTCCCGGTTCCTTTTATATGCCCTTTCCATCTCTCATCAGTAACGTTCCTTAACATTTACAGTTCTCTTCCTAGCAGGCTATCCTCTGCAGTAGCTCCAGTTCTACTGTCTTCTAGCTACTACCCACTGTAGTTCCAGTCTCATTTCTAAGGCCATTGACAGTTACAGCTTCACTGGAATGGCTCACTGAGGGCTACAAGGCTTGGGCTCACACTGATCAGCATCAACAATAGTCACATCTTCCAGGCAAACACACATGAACACACAAAGGGTCAGAAGACTGCAGTGGAAACCTAACAATTTGCTTTGTTAATGCAAAAAGTTGAGGATTCCTCTACCCCCTCACAAAGACAAAACACACACAACCTCTTTCCTCTTCACAGTGAGGGAGTGCAGTGACAGTAACTGACTGCAGCTGCACAGGCAGCATACAAGCTTGACTCTAGCTGGTTTTACCAGAGAGCATCCCTCAGTGTAAAATCGACTTGCAGAGTAGCTATGTTCTCTGTGTGATCTGGGAAAGGCAAAATCTTTACCACACACCAGGAACAGATGTGATCTAGCACAGAATTGCTTAAGACTATTCTGTACAGGTCCCACAGAACTAACAGCCACTTGGCATGCATGCAAAACCACAACACTACCCATTGGCATCACTTTGTCTCCAGTAACAAGAAAGAGGTCCATAGCATACAAAAAAAGGTCCAAAAAGGAACCCTTTGGACAAAAAGGGAAAGCACCAAAGAAAAAAAAAAGCAACATTTGTAGGCACCTACTGTCTTCCTGATACTTGGCAAGTCCCTTGAGGTCTAAGGTAGCTAATACTTAGCTTTGGTTCTAGGATGCACACAGTTTCTGCCTGCTTGCTGTTGCAGCAGCTGAACATCCCCTGCAAAGAGGCAGAGGACTTGCAGGGTTTTCCTCATCATCACCTTCTCTTGTGTTGCCTTTTCCGACCTTATAAAACAGCCTGCTTACCAGTGTTCAGGGTCAGCAGTCTCCCTTCCTCAACAGAAATATGGTGATTTTGTTGCAGAGAATGTTTCTTATTTCAGGCACTGTGTCATCTTTCCAAACTTTTCCTCTTATAAGCAGCATTTCTTTAACCTTGCTTTTTATTCAGAAAGATAAACGTGTATGACAGAGAAAATACATTCCATAACACAATCACAGTCACATTTGTTTCTAATGCAACACTACAGAAACACTCACTGACTATCACACAGTCAGTGGACTCTGAAAAACTCCAAATGCAATACCCACATGTTAAAAAATTATGCTACTGTCCTATGCCACATATCTGATCACCACAGCTAACCCAGAATTTTCACTCTGTGTGGGCCAACCTATACTCTGAATGCATATCCAATACAGGACATTGGCACATCCTGCTTCAGGAGTCAACAATGTCTCTTCACTAGCATCATGAGAAGCAAAAGCAAGAGAGACTTGTCCAGTTGCCTTCCTGTGTTTATGGATAGAGGCAACCTTAGCCTCCGTGTGTCTCAAACCAGACTATGCGAGAAGCTGCTGCAGTAAGCCTGATCAAGACAACTAATCAG